CAATTAATAATGACGAATCAAACCTTCAATCGTCAGAACAACAAATTAATTCTAGTATGAATAATTCATTACATGGGAACTTATCTCGAATGATTCAGAATTTTAATCAGATGAATGTAGAAGAATTAAAATTGAATAATGAAACATCAAACATAATTTACGATGATAATACTGTTTGTTTAACGATTACGGATATTAACAAGGATTTATTAAACGTATTAGGAGGATTGCAAAGATATCAGAAATTAAAAGTACTCGACTGTAAAAATATTCAGATAATCAGCTTACCGACTTTACCCGACTCCTTAACGGAACTTTATTGCTCTGGATTTTATTTTAAAATAAATAAAATAACAATCCTACCAACTTTACCCGACTCCTTAACAATACTCAATTGTAGTAATACACAAATAAATAGCTTACCAACTTTACCCAACTCTTTAAAGAAACTTCTTTATCATGAAACTCAAATTAATAGCTTACTAACTTTACCCGACTCCTTAAGGGAACTCTTTTGTAGTAATACTTCAATAAATAGCTTACCCACTTTACCCAATTCTTTAACGAAACTCTTTTGCTATGAAACTCAAATTATTTGCTTACCAACTTTACCAAATTTCTTAACAATACTCAAATGTAATAAGACTCAAATTAATAGCTTACCAACTTTACCCAGCTCCTTAATTGAACTCAGTTGTAGTAAAACTAAAATAAATATCTTACCAACTTTACCTGACTTCTTAACTATACTCTATTGCTATAAAACTCAAATAAATAGCTTACCAACTTTACCCGACTCCTTAACGGAACTCCTTTGCTATAAAACTCAAATTAATAGCTTACCAACTTTACCCGACTCCTTAACAATACTCAGTTGCTATAAAACTCAAATAAATAGCTTACCAACTTTACCCGACTCCTTAATGAAACTCTTTTGTAGTAATACTAAAATTAATAGCTTACCAACTTTATCCGACTCCTTAACGGAACTCCTTTGCTATGAAACTCAAATTAATAGCTTACCAACTTTACCTGACTTATTAACAAAACTCAGTTGTATTAAAACTAAAATAAATAGCTTACCAACTTTACCCGACTCCTTAACAATACTCTATTGCTATGAAACTCAAATTAATAGCTTACCAACTTTACCCGACTCCTTAACGGAACTCTATTGTGGTAATACTAAAATAAATACCTTACAAACTTTACCCAACTCCTTAACGAAACTCAGTTGTAGTAAAACTAAAATAAATAGATTACCAAATTTACCTGATTCCTTAACATATATCAGACCCCAATTTTTAAGAACTCGTGTAATACATTAGTCGAAAATATCATAATTATAAAGAAATTATTTATTAACAAGTTTGTTATTTATCTTATATATTTTTCTTTCATAAATAAATTTTACCACTTTGACAGATGGTGTCTTTAATTTTTTTTAGTCAATTCTAATTCAATTCGATTTTTGTATAATCAATTCCAATCATCATATATCAATTAAAAACAAAAATATAAATCTCACCAAAGTAGCACAAATGAAATTATATAAAAGAAATAATATAAAAAATATCAATGGTAAAAAAATGGTTGTTACAAACAAAAGCTATCACAAATGTGCCAGTTTTTTTTGTTTTAGAGTATTTTTGCAAAAATAAGTTAATTTACTTGTTACTACATCAAGGACATGTCAATTACAAAACTTACATTAAAATAAATTTAATATGAGCTATATTCCCCATTTTTTTCAATTACAAAGCTCACAACGTTCTTTCATCGACCTAAGTAAATTTGCTAAAATGCTTTCTGGACTGTGAAGCAAAATGTTTGTTAATTTTTTTGACATTTATATCGATACATTAAATTATTCTGAAAATTTAAAGTTTAATAAAGCCTTGCTAAAAATATTTAAATTTGTTCGTTGTTTCTTACATTAATTTGATTTTATATAATTTTTACGACTTTCACTTTTTATGCTGTTGAAATATTTTTCAACCTTTTTTGTATCATGTGATAACTTATGATTTATTTCGTAAATTGTCAGATTTTATAAATATATTTTATTAATGTAAATTTAACATAGCAGACTTTATTTATGATTAAGATAATGGATAGATCGATACCCTTAATATTCTTTTATTAATGTTGTTTAACAGTTCGCATCTAAATATCAATACAATCTTAATCTTTTTCTATAGTTCCTGAAGGAACGAATTATTGATACAATTAATTTTATTATAATCTATTATGTTAAATTATCTTTGATAAGAACACAGTCAATATGTGCACTGCATGCATAAATTGATTACTCAACAGAAAATCTCAGAATTAAAAAGTGGCCACATTTCTGCAGGTTGGTCACATTGGAATTATATTAATATTAAAAGTAACTTGAAACTATTTTCTTGTAATTTTTTTCCCACCATACTATTAAGTTTTTTCTTAAAAACAATATATAGAATGACATTTGGAAATTAAATTATATTTTTGGAGCAATTGAATGAGTAAATTTATATTTCCAAAATAATTTAATTCTAAATGATTGGTTGATGTGATGTACCAAACCAAAACAAACCGTATTTTGTTAAAATCAATTATTCAAAAATTTTAACACTCGCAACTTGCTGGATTTTAATGAGAATTGTTTAACACTTAAAAAGCAATTATTATTATCGTGAATTTCCAAACGTGAACTTGTTAGACAAGATTATTCTGTCACCTATCTCATTAGTTTTACCTGTGTTACCTTTCTTTATTAATAACTGAACAATAAATGTGCTCTAGAATATTTTTTAACTTAAATTAAAAAATAATTGTTATTTGAAAATAAATGGAACGAATATTTATCACTATTAATAAATCTCTGTCATATAACAAGTTCAATAATCAAGCCAATAGCTTTTTATTATAAAATTACTTGAAGTGTTTCTTTATCGCATCAATCATCTGTAAAAAAAAGAAATAATCAAAAAAAATTTGCTCTTATAGTATGTAATGAAATAAATAATTGACTACTTTAGTCAATATGTACACATTTTGAGTTATTTTTTAATGCATCGTTTCGATTCTCTAACATACTAACAATATAAGAAACTACAATGTTTTTCATTCTGCATCTCCCATCAAAATTGCAAATATATTGACGATAAATTTCAATATTAGGTTTTCTGAAGAACCAATCTAACGAATGAAATACCAACAACTTCTAGATGTTACGATTTCAAATAATGGTGGTTTTGATACAACTTTCAGAAAATATGCATCGAATGTTAAGTCCACCCTAAACGCAATAAATACAAAAATTTGACGTTACCTCTGACTAGGGATGGTAACGGTCAGTCGTGATCAGTCAACGGTCGGTCAACGGTCGGTCAAAGGCTTTTGACCAACCGTCCAGTTAACTGACCGATTTTAACTGACCGGTTTACCGACCTGTTAAAATAATATAATTGAGCAGTTTTGACTTAACGTTAATAGAAATTTAATATTATAATTTTGATTCTTGCTTCAACAATACTAGCATGCATTTTTTTTAAAAACTTCTTTTGTCAATTTTATTTAGTAGCGCAGCATTATCGCGGACTTTAATTTTTTTAAATTTTCAAAATTTTAATTTATAGATAATTAAATTTAAATGTTTGATTTTGTTAATTTAATACAAAATGTTTTACTATTTAAAACATGTTAGTTCAGTCGGTCAACCGGTTAGTCAAAATCGGTCAGAATCGGTCAGTCAACCGGTCAGTCAGAAGCCTTTGACCACCGATATCGGTCACGGTTATGACCAGTTATAACCGGTCATGACCGTGATCATTAGCATCCCTACCTCTGACGCACTATGCAATAGCATGATTTTTAGGCTATCCCCTTATGGATATCTTCCAATTTGGCTATGTTAACCAGCACTGCAAAACCATCGAGTTTACCAAATAGCCCACAGGGTCATACGCTTTAGTTCCATTAAGAATAGCTCCAACGATTAATATTGCTGAATCATTCGTAAACCTTCGAATGTAAGCAACATGAAAATTGATATATATTCCTGAACCGTTCGTTCATTAACATTGATATTATTTTTGAATACTCTCAACGTTAGTTTGATCCAATCAGTAAAGAATTTCAATTTTCTTCAGAAATTGGATTGTGATTTGGGATTCAAATCAAAATGTCTGTCTAGTAATCTCTAAGCGATCCACTAAATTCCTGATGCAAAACTTTTTTGAATATATCTTTGATTTCCCATTCTTTAAAAGATTTATTACCTATAATAATTTGGAGAAGTTTGAAATCAGGATATCTACATCATTTTTATACTAGAAAAAAATCATATATTTGGTCTTGATTTTAAGGTTTGTGATTTATTTCTTTCTATAGTCCGATCTAAAAGGCGTTAAAATTCATTTTTGATATTCTTATTATTGTTCTCAGGAATTTCAAAATAGAAATCTCGCGCTTCTTCGACATTAAAGAATGATAATTTATTGAACTTTTTTTTAGTAATATAATCCAAGATCTGCTGGAGTGTGGTATTTTGTATTTCATTTCAATATTCCCAATTTCACAAGTCACTATGAATGTAAATGAATACCCAATATTATAGGAGAAATCAAAATATGAAAAACATTTTAAACTTACTTTTCGATGTGGAAAATGGATATTGAATCATAATTAAGTTGTGTTAAGGTGGACTGTTAGGACATCTCCACTTAGAGGTTACTTTCGTTCCTTATCAGCGAATAATTCTAATGTCACACTAATTGACATTTTTAAGTTCAATGAACTCTTCTTGAAGGTGGTTTAAAGTGGAACATTGCGACACTGAGATAACTTCGATTTCCAAGGAATTTGGTTTACCTTCTAATAGAACCCACATCGATATTAAGGAATTTGGTGATGAGATGCTATTAATTCAGCTTTATATATAATTTATATTGACGAATCGAAATTTTTTAAAAAAAAATTATAAAACTTGCATAATAGAAAAGTCAATTATGTATGAAGAAAAAACCTGTTAGATCAATTATAATTGTATTCACTAAAAAATCTACCCACGAGATACCATATAGTCCTGAAAGTAAGCATCCGTGATATTAATAAATGTATATACTTTATGTCATTTAGGTACTATACGGTAATTGACATTTTTGTTTCATATGAATATTGTAATTCATAATGATAATTTTCTTGAAAGTTTATGCAGATTAGATTACAATATCATATATTTTAAAACTTGTAAAAAATTTATGCGAGTTTGTTATCTTTAGTTATGTTACTGTATGTGAAATGTTAAGCAAGTTTATGAACGACTATGAAAAAATTGTCAAGTGTAACTGAAAAATAATAAAAATTACAAAATGTGATTTCATTTGCAATTATTAAATTTTAATTAGGATTTAACATGAAACAAGTTTCTTTTACTTTTAATTATTAATTACCATTAATATTTATGTATAGTAAATTCATCAAAACATGTAATCATTAACGAATTTATATGATTCAATAATGTTTTAATTTATTTCAAAATACAACGAAAAATGCAAACTTGCTAGATTAATATTTTATGAAAACTAATGATTGTACTTTATTAAATAAAAACGATTTGATCATTATTCTTGAACAATTTCTATTTCATGATAAAAAAAGTTTTTCAAACAATAAAGAAATCGTTCGAGAACAATGACGAAATCATGTGTTTCTGATTAACAAAGCTTCATTAAAAGTTATAAGGTAATGATGTTATTCCTTAAATCCTCCAGAAACTTTGCTCAAGATATTGCTTCAAATACTTTTTTTTACTACAAGTTTCAAAGGATTCAATCAATCTTATGCGTTCTAAAAATAATTCAATGATATCCTTCTTGATAAATTGTTTTAAAAATAATACTTATAAAACAAGTATACTTGACTGAAACTGAGTCAAAAAGCATATTTCAACACAATGTATACTCTTTGAAATGGCTCATTAACAACTTCACTAATTTCAAAAGCAAGTTAAAGAAAATTTAGAAATGGTATCCTTTTTAGGGCTCACTGTCATGTAGGTAATTTATGCACCTATATTAAATCAACGTTCATATTATTAAAAATTTTCCCTCCTTAGATGATGATCAAATTTTAAAGACTCTTGTGACAAGCTAACGGAGGTGTAATTTTAATTTTAATCTAAAGCAAGCGTCAACATCAAGATTTGATTGATAATCCCATATAATTGCTTGGTTCTTTGAAAAACGTTTTAAAATTTTTCTAGAAAAGTATTAATTCCCAAGTGGAAATTAAAGGACTGGCGCCACTTTTCAAATTTTTAAAAGAAAAGGTGTTTATCATTTATATTGCAGAGGGAGGGTAAACTAATAGTCAAGCGCGATTTGACTCAAAAGAATTACTGATTCGCTGTTTATCACTAAATAAGCAAATAACTATTGATACCTACAATCTTCTTTCACATGCCAGGTGCACGGATGAAAACAGAGCGTTCAGATAAAGCTAGTTAGAAGAGGCTTAAAAAAAACGTGAGAAAGAAAATATACCGCATACAATTGATAGGACTAAATTTCTTGTTAATAATTACAAGCAAATATTCTTTATTATGAATTTTACTAAATCTTTGCATTTATCTTATTAATTTTGAACGATAACCATTAGAGCCTAAAAGAAAATACAGCAGCAACTGAAGTTGAGGTATTGTCAGCAATATCTTAAACAATATATTGCGCGAAGCTCTATGTATATGTGTCTTACCACACCCATGTCAGGGTATTAACAATCCACAGATATGCAAATGTAGGGGGAAAGAAGATTCTCTATTAGATTTGACGATATGATAACAAGATACAGTATATTACCCTGATATGAAAATAGCACTACTAATTCCAATATAGTCAAAATTGAACTTCCGATCAATTTAAAGACTATGGTAAGCCAAGGTTTCATCTATAATAGATGTTATCTCAAACGAGGATCAAGTTAAGGGGGAGCCAGATTTTATTACAAGTAGTTGAAGATTAGATTCTAATGCAGCTCAATTATGACTAGCGTTAATCATTATGTAAATTCTTAAATTGGGAAATCTGAAAATTTATCTTTTTATGGGATTTTATAAAATATAAATTTTAAAGCGCTGAGATCGTAATATTATTATATGTATAATTTAATTAAACTTTAAAATATTTATTTGATTCGGGTTTTTAAAAATTAAATAAATCCGGAAATAAAAACAAACCCGATTACAAATTTAAAACCTACTCGATAAATAATGTATTTTTGGAAACTTTGTTCTAATTTAAAATAATAAGCAAAAAAAAAAAAATCGTTTTAATATTCTTCATTGATACAATAACCTGTTAAAACCGTCAAATTCGCAAATTTTTATCGAAACTTTCGAGACCAATCGAAACTATCAAAACCCATCGAAACTGTCGAAAACATTTCTAAAAAGTTTCGACTTTTGCCGATAATTGGTTTAGGGTTTTTCTCACAAGTTGTTAATTAAATCAAAACAATAGTTACAAAAGTATGCGGTTTCTGGGTTCCTTTCATAATCGCAACACCACCATTTACGTTCCTCATAAATTTCTTTTTCACAGGTGCATTCTTGCCTTTTCACCAAGCTTTTGTGTTTCTCACTATAAGAAGGAGCTGAGAAAGTAACATTACTAAATGCTAAAATGACGATAATAAGCATGAAAATGTGAATTTTCATGATTATTTTGGAAGTATTTGAAGGATTAATATCAAACATGATTTAATAATATTTTTTAAACAGATTCTTGTGGAATGTAACTTAAAGACGTGTATTTATATTTTTGATGTCTATTGAATGTGATAACAAAATTTTCCTCACTTTTTATATTTTTTTTAAAGTATCAGGCTTACTAGGCTTATCCTTAAGAAACTTGTATTTGCTTGCTATAGATTGCGTTACAACCTTTACAGCCTCTCAAATGCTGTAATAAATATTTGCAACCAATCACACCATTGTAAATCCCAAATATAATCGGTTAGAAAAATATTTAAGCGATTGTATATATACAATGAATATAATTCTCCCCACAGACGATAATTTGTTCAAAACATCGTTCATATTGATTTTAGTTAGAATATGAAGATCAATTCCGGCCAGCTCGCAAATAGGATATTGTTGTAATGGCATTGTTTGCTGTAACTAAGCAAGAGGCTTTGGTAATGTAACTAAGCCAAGAAGCATTTGTAATGTAACTAAATAAGAAGCTTTGATAACATAACTAAGTCAAGAGGCTTTAGAAACTAAGCCAAAAGGCTTTGTAACGGTACTTAAGCCATGTGTTAATAAATTCAAATTCCTTTTTTATTTCAATAACAAATTATATATTTGATTTGTAGTAAATAATTAAATAATAGTTATTATTTACATATAATATAATTCCGCCCGAAAGATCACGATTTACACTTGTAAATTGCTTTGATAGTTATGGATAGTCTTTGTAGATCATTTTTTGACCATCAGTTCTTTCATGTCAATTTTAAATGTAAGCAAACGGTTTTTATTGAGTAAAAATGAAGTAATATTGACGCTAACTTTATTTAATAATATCAAAATTAATCAGTGTTTTCCTCAAGGTCAGCGCTCTACACTTTCGCAGTGTCAATTAAGAAAATCGGGAATTAAAAAAATAAAGCTACAATAATAAAATATAAAGGTTAAAACGGTGAAACGAAAATATCGCGAAGGGATTAAATGAAGGTTTTTAAGGTGTATATATGCAAATATAAGAAGGGCGAGCATGGAATGTTAAGTAGTTTAAGAATTCCAGCTCATATTTATAAAAAATAAATAATGATTAGGATAGCCTGGTACCCTGCCATTTTTTCATCCTCTATCCTGTCTAAATGATCAAAAAATTTACATACAAAATTATGGCGAAATTATACTCAATGTAACAGTACATTTACAAAGTTGATGAAACACCCAAATTAATAGTGGTCCAAGTATTAAAAAGATTATGAAAGTAACATTTTAAATACAAATGGTTTTAGGGCAATTTTGAGAAGTACTTTTGATTAAAAAAACAAAAAAGATTCAGGTCAATTTTATTGAAATCTCATTTGAAAATAAAAATTAAGATCCATAATTTTTGCTTTTTCAAAAGGTAAAAAAGGTAAATAATTTATTAAGTAAGATTATACAACTTTTGAAATGCATATTTAGGTTTATTTAATTTCCATGATTTTTAAGAACTAGAAAATATTTAAATGAAATTTTAGAAAATTAGAAAATAATGCAGTATTATTGCAACAAATATTTTGGAAATTTCCTCAAAACCTTTAATAAACACAATTCATAATTTTATAAACTATATATATGGTCCTTACTATTAGAGATTTTTGACGATCATTTTTAACTTCGGGCTTTGCGAGCCATTTTTCTAATAAATAACCGAAATCTTTAAAATTTCAAAATTTCATAACTTGTACTCTATTAACATTTAAGTAACGCAGTAAAGTCGAATGGGTACATGATAACTTTATGAAACATAAAATACATCGTTCTTTTCAAAACTCACGTAAAAAAAAGTTTTATTTTATTTAGAAGGTTTAATTTATTAATTTCGGAATATTAATGAATTTTTTTAAAAAAACGATCTATTTTGTGAAAGAATAATAGTAAATTTATTATAAAATTATTTAAATTATGCTATAAAATAAAAAATCTTCAATAGTAATTTTTGATTTAATTATTTGTTAGCGCACCCCAACACCGCTTGTCTCAAATTCTAATTTTGCCCCAATTTTAAATTGTGCAGAAAAATTGCATTGAATTTCAAATTGGATTGCCTCAATCAAGTATTTTGATCACACTAGCAATTTACAGTAAATTGTTTGAGGTTTCTTCATTCAACGAAAGATATTATAGTTATTGTCAAAATAAAATTTAAAATAATTTGAAAATTTTCTGGTGATATTCCTATAAAATTTAATTCCTTAATTTAATATAAGTCTTTCCATGACGAATGCCTTTCAAATGTTGAGATAGTTGAGACACATCAAGAAATAGTTATTTCACTTCTTTCACCAAACAAACATAGCTTATTTACAACAAAAACATGAAAGAGTACATCCTGCAGGAATAAAAGACTATAAAGAATAAGTGAATTAAATGAATGTAAGTCATAATTAAAAATATTTATTGTGAAGCAAGGAGCAAATCGATTCTGCCAGAACCCTTTTATCCTACTTTAGTCATATATAAGTCATCCATTGTTGCATAAAGAGTATGATGTAAAGAGTAAATACAGCCAACTAAAAATAAGAATGTATATAGCATAAAAGCTAGAAGAAATGCATACAACCGTCATTAAATAGAGTAAGTATTTAGCTAACTAGGTGTAAAAGAAAATGCATACAGCCGTATTGTTTACTATGGTCATTTATAAACAATAAAATATATCTTTTTAAAAATTAAGTTGGATTTTTGATATTACTATTAATTATACCCGCCAATTGGAGATCGACAAATAACACGCAAACAACCGGTGTGGTGTTAGTAGTTTATAATGAAGACTTTAGAACAATTACTTGCCTCTTTAAAATTTTATTGTGCTCGAATGTAGCACAAATTTCCCAGCAATTAAATCTTGTAGTGTTATTTCGTTCGATTTCGATTACTCTAACTTATTGTTCAATATCATTGTCAACGTGTTCTAACATAAATAACTCTTATGTAAAGTCTGTGTTGAAGTATAACTTTACAATTTATCTGCTATATTATTATTACATTAGATGCAAAATATTTTAGCATTTGTATTAACGTCATGTATTCAGAATTTTTACATACAGTCTCAATTAAAAGATGACAGTGATAAAGTTTATAAAATTGATTATTTATTGTGGTACAACCAATTTTATTTGAACAAATTTTATCATTGCTTTCATATTTGGAATCGTTTTAACTAAATTTTTATTTTTTTTATTTTTTAGGTATATTATGTTTTATTTATAATACACTTTAATATTTAAATTAGATATTATAGAATAACCTCCTGTAATATAGTTTAGATTTATGCCTATATAAAAAACCATTAAAAAATTTGTTAAATTAAAATGATGTTTACGCTTCATAAGTTCTATCCGTGACCGCCAAAAATGAAAAAATTTGAAATCGTACTTTTTGTATATATTTCGAAGGGAGTTTTTCCAAATACTTTTTTTCAAAATTTAAAATATGAAACCAATTTATATTGAATAATTAGATGACGATGATATGTTACAATCGAAGTTGGAGAAGACTATATTTTGTATTATAATTTCTCAAATTTTTTCAATTAGAAGACAAAGATTACCGAAAAAAAAATCAAGTTGCCAAATAAATTACCCGAGCTTTTCAAATTCTTTGAAATAAGTCATGTTATAACATGAACAAATCACTTGTGCATTAAGTTTATTTATTTCAAAATAAGATAATTTTCTTAAATAAATCCGGTATATTACCTTGATTTACTTTACATATTTCTGAAATAAGAGATTTATCATGGGTTAAAACATAATTCTTGAATAATTAAGTGACTCCACAACGTCGATTTCATCATCATGATTATTCATTAGTAGACCAACATAACCTATCCGAATATAACCACCATCACCTTTTGTAAAAAATTTAATTTTATACTAAATTTTGCCGTCTTATGCTATTTGCAAAGCATGTTAACAATTGAAATCTGATTCCATTCTTTTTGTAAAGCAACCTCCAATTCTCTCGCATTCATTGCAAGTAAAGGTCTGGTCCTGATGCGCCTTTCGAATTCTGACCATATGTGTACAATAAGGGTTCAAATTTGGAAATTTGTTTGGCCAAATTTATAAAATTTTAGTCTACCCATTCTTTAAAATCTTAAGCGGTATAAACAGTGCATTGTCAACCTGGGCCATCATTTGTAAATATAGTATAATGACTTTCATCGCTCCAAATAACTGATTCCGCTTCTAATAGACCAATCTTTACACCTATTTAAACGATTTTCTCTTTGTTGGTTATTAAGAAAAGGTTTAGAAGCTGAAATACAAGATTTCAACTTTTTGAAGTTTATTTTTTTTTCAGCTGATTGATGATTATTTCTTTTACCAATTAGTTTTAGATTTTGCCATTGTTTTAAATGACCTGATTTTGTGTTTGAAGTTGCCTATCAAAGCCCGAGTCATTGGCAAAACTATAATAAAATCATATTAGAAAAACCGTCGAATTTGAAACCATAATAAAAAGTCAAAACTATATAAAGAAACAATTCCGTCGAAATATAGGGTTTCGACTTTTGCTTTTTGCAAAAATGAGTTTTGCTAGGTATCTATTAAGACATTTTCTTTTACGAAAGTTTTGAATTGTTCGGATAACTTAAATTCTGAAAATGACAAGTATACTTTTTGTGGCGACACCTTTAAAAAGACATATGATATGACTCCGTTCCGATTCCGTTGATTCATACGTTTTAAGTTTGTATTTCATGAATTGTAATGTTTCTTTCAGGATATAAATATCATTCTCTAGTATAGTAATACTTTTACTATTCACCACCGCTCTCTTTCTATGTTTTTAAATTTTTCATTTCGTAATGACACAATCAATAAAATTTTATTCATTTGATAAGTAAATTAGTATTTAAATAAATGAACAGTAAAAATTTAGAAATAAATACTATAAAAGTGTAAACAAAAAAATAAAAATATGAAAATAATTGATAAAGAAGTAAAAATTATAATTATATTCCAATTATATTTAAAATAATTTTCTTTATTTCGGGATTTATAGTTCCTTCATCCATTAATTTCTTTATTTCTTGAACATCGGCATAGTAATAACTACAAAATATTAATTTTTAATTTTAAAATAAATTACAAAAAATTGGTTCAAATTAGTTAATTACATTAATCCGGGAAACCATGTTTTCCAGCATCGCTTATGATTCGGAAGAAAATAAAATAGTTCAATTTCTTTAAGAATCTTTTTAATAAAGGGTAGTTACTGTTAATAAAGTGTTTAAATAATTAAGTAGATTTATATTTTTTACTAACCTCTGCCTTTTGTACAGTGTAAGTTACCCGATCATTATCTTCTTCAATTGCCATATTTAATAATCCAATCAACAAGTTCATAAGAAACACAACGATTATAAATGAATATATAATCATTAAAGCGATCATTGTTTTATTATCCTCAGGTGGCCATCTATTAAATAAACTTCCATCTCCTATAAAAATTAATATACAATTAGGCAAAATGTAAGTTTAGAAATTCAATAATTAAATAGTAACGTACCTGTTAGGAATATACTCATTGCTAAAAGAGAGTTGGGATAATTTGAAAATAAATTTGTATATTCATCAGGAACTTTAAATAAAGTCATGTTCCGATTAATTTTCCCATCCGAAAAAACTTGAAAAAATCTGTCGGTAAGATTCCAAGGATTATTAGGTTCATTTATATCTCCTAAATCTTCTTCAATAAACGGAGATTTGGGTTTTAATAAAAGCATAAATGCATGAGCAAAACTTAATGTAATAAGAACCAAAATGAATAGAAATGAAAAAATTTTGCGTGCAACACCAAGCATGATGGCAAAATAAACCCCAAATGGTTCAAATGCTCGGAAAAAGAGTATAAATTTCATTTCAAGTATAAGACATGAAATTGAAACCAAGAAAGTAATATCTTTATCTTCATATTTGTACCAAATAATTGATGTAGTCGTAGGTATTAAATAAGCGCCCAAGTCTAAAATTTTAAAGAAAATTAACATCATTGTTTAAAAAAGTAATCAAATGATAATTTATACATACCAATAAAATTCCAAAAATTTTGTAACCATCTATAAGGATTCCATATAAATTGGCGAAATTCAAATAAAAGATGAAAGCAGCCAAAAAATATGGACGCCATTAAGTAGTTATTTCTATTTTCACTATCAGAAGCAGCAATTATAAAACAACTAAGAAATACAGTATATAATAACCAAATTATTATATAATAATATTTTCCATATACCCTCCATTTAAATTTAATTAAAGCTTTGCCATTCCAAGTTTTATAAAATTCATTATGATTTGCTTCGATAAAAGGATTGGATTGGGGTATTAAAAGATCAAAAAGCCAAATAAGCCAACCAGGCAAATGTTCATATATGGTTTTAATTTTAGAAAATTTAGAATATGAATATGAATATGAAGAGAAATAAGGAAATGGAATTATAAATAAAAGAGTCGGCTTTGTAGGTTTTTTTCTCCGTTTAACATAAAATATACACATCAAAATTATTACAGATATTAAGTAACCAACCGATATACAAAAAAAAATTATTTGCTTGATAAAGAATGTTGATAAAGGAATAATTATTAATATTATATGTAAATATTGTAATAAGGATTTATATTTTTGAAATTGACTTCCTTCAATTTCTCTATATAAAATATACATAATAATCAATGGACCAAACAAATCAAATAATAACAAAATATCTAAAGTTGCCATTGTCGATAAAAATAAAGCTCTTATCCCCATCTCAAATAATTTACTTATCTTCGGAAAACACTTATTTACTAATTTAGATATAGATAAAAAATATTCAATAATTACTATTGCACGCGGAATGAAGCGTAAGAGAATATGAACTCCTATACAATTAATCATTAGTATGGACTCCATGAATGTGAATGATATTAATAATAAAAATGCTAGATGTTTTCTGATTAAACTTTTTTTAAAATAATATTTTTCTATATTATAACAAATAGTAATTATTATAAGTGAGATAAATAAAGTTAAGTCAGCATTAAAGAAATATTCACCACTTCTTTGTTCATAATTTATTATATATGCAAATAAAACTAAAAAAATTGGTGGTATTAAAAACTGAACAATTTCTTTATATTCTTCATAGAGAATATAAAAATAAGGTATAGAATGATTTATGATTTCTAATTGTTTACAGAGAGAATAATGATGGTCAACTTTTTCATAAATAATCTCTTGATTTAAAGGATCTAAAATTAAATTCATTTCCTTATAATACTTCAAAATAAATTCATAATATTTGTCATTTAAATATGGAATATTATTACATATTACTGATAATATGCAAATATTACTTTTTGGATCTTCTTTAAAGTGTTCAATAGTTTTGTTAAATATTATACCTATTAAATATATATTATTTTGTTTGATTGCCGATTTTAATAATTGTTCTCCATATAATAATAAAAAATAATTTGCATTTAATAAATAATTAATCCATTGCTTCTTTGATTCAATTTCTGATGGATCAGCAATAAATTTAATATCTAAATTATCTAAATCGTGATGATAATAATGTTTTTCTATAATACCACGTAGAATATCTTTACTGTTTTCAGAGATGTTATTCTTTATATACTCATCAACAACTTCCATTTTAGCTTTGATAGTAGTAAAATTTTGATCTATATCCATAAATATGTTCTCTTCATTTTTAATAAGATTTTGACTATCATTAAAGATGGAATATCTCCAATCATGATTAGCTATATTAAAAAAAATGAGGTTTTTCTGGTGATATTATAAAAACTTTTTTATCCGTAAATTCGATATGAATACTTTTATCGAGATCTCCAAATTCTACTAATTTATTGAAACCAATGGAACCTTTTAGGCTTGATTTCCAAAAATAAATATTAATGACATTACTACTTGACAAAGTAATCATGAATTCATCATTATTGCCGACGAATTCGAATTCACGACAATCTAATAAACAAAAGTATATTAATTGTAAATCAGAAGTTTAAAAATATATTCATAGAAATACATACCAGAATCTACAATCTTTCCAATGGGAAAATTAATTTGGTCTTTGATATTGTAATAGATATAATGCGCATCAACAACTTTCATGATAATTAACTTGTCTGAGAATTTGAATTTAACTTGCTCAATATTTAAATTCTTTTCCTACATAATTAAATCATCATTATTATCAATTTATATCAAACTTACAATAAAGATTTATATATTTACTCACAAAAAGCGAAATCTTTTGAAGTTGGAATGTGGCTAAATCCAATAGGAAAATTAATCCATATGCCATCATCCACATCCTATTGCTTAAATAACCGCCAAATCTTACATCTTTTTCATTTAAAATATTAAAAGCCTTTTGAGTCAATTCATTGTTATTTGCGAGTTCATAAATCAAAACTGCGGGATTTAATGTAGTGCTACCACTATTGTTCTTAAATGTAACTATATTCCCGTTTTCAAGAAAATTTGTATGATTATAATCACAACTTTTATCTTTAATCTCAAGATCTTCATTATGTTTCAAATCGTGGAATTTTGCTAATCACAAAACGAATAATAAATTAACGCGAAGATTTGTCATTTGAATTCAAATTAAAATTTAAATCTTACCGAAACCAGTATATTCATATAAAATGATTTTGTTATCAGAAACCTTGAAATCACTAATGTCTTCCCAATTTGACGATTCGATATCTTTACAAAGGTTTGAATCGGAATCATCATGCCATCCTACAAAGGATTTATCTTCTTGACTATATGTTAAAACATATTTATTTAGTGGTGATATTGCCACTTTAGATATCGGTTTATCATTATGTGGTAAATTTGAAATAGGATTATGATGTGAATTAGGTACGAAATCATTGATGCGTATGTTCACGTGATTCCGAGACATGGTTGGTTAATTTGCAAGTTGTGGATAAATATAAAAGATGAGAAAATGACATTATATAATTGGGATTATATATAACGAGATGAATAAGAACGGAAAAAGTTTATCCCTCGGAATAGTGGATCACTTAAAAGCCACATTGAGTTGTTAACACCGCCTTTGTTATAATAATTGCATAGTTGAGGATTCCAAATTATGGAACCGATCTAATCTAAAAAGATCATCTTTAATTTCGTGATGAAAACGGCACAATTTTTTATTCTGCGTGCGCCATGTAAAAAGGTCAGACTACCAGCGAACCGATGAATTTAAAAAAAAGTAAAAGCCGAGGGGAACAAAAAAAAACAGGATGAAAAGGAAGCCAAAGAAAAAGATTAGAAGAAAGGGCAGAATATAAAAGGAAAAATAATTTGGTCTATATTATGAATTTCTACTGGTCCGGTTTCAAACTGGTACCGGCCCGATATTTAAATATTAAACTGGGTGATCTGCCACCACAGCCATGATTGAAGCGAAATCAAACAGCTAAATTTCATAAGTCACGGGACAGCCGATAATATCCGAGACTTTTCCGAGAACATTTATAAAGGTTTGGAAAAGCCGCCAACCACATTTTTCTATGGGTAAAAAAAATTAGTTCACTATATTCGGAACACTTACCGAGTTTTATCGATCTGCAAAATGATCGTCCGTCCCGTGACTTTGAAATTAGCTGTAAATATGGTTGCTTTCCCCGAAGCGAAACAAATAAAAAATAAATAATAATCAAACGCCTTCTTTTTATGGTGAACAATTATTTCATCATTTATAAATAACAAATTTCACGAATTCTAATTTTATTATGCAAGCAAGAAAAAAAAAATCATTTTAAACTTCCGTCGTATGAAAAACATAGCCCTATGCTACAAGAATTTGTAAACATTATTTTGCAAAGCTCGTTATAGTGAAGCTCGTTATAATAAATTTGGCTGATAATTGTTCCCACAGTTCACTTTTTATTTTCGATATAGTAAACTTACTAATAAATCTCGATATTAGGCCGTGCAAACTTGATTTTTCGGTTCATGTAACATCAGAATTTGAAAATGACCCGGCGACCCGGTTTTTATTTTTATAACAGATGAAAATTTATATGTAAAAAATGTTATGATTGTTCGAACTTGATCTTATAAATTTAGTAAAATTCGAACTCGAACTGGTAATTTATCATAGTTCAATTAATTATTCATCTAATTATAAAACACAAACATTCTATTTTGTTTGACGAATGTACTCCTATAGAAAATATAAATATCGAAGATTTTTTGCATATTTTGGGAAATATGAAATTTGGTAACTAAGAAAAGGTGTGAAAAAGATATAAAGCATCGAAAATATATGGAGATTAAATTATCGAACAATCAATCATAATGGAGAACTACTTTTGAGAAATACATTTGATTATTAATGAAGTCATCAACAACACTATCTTTCCAGAGTTTAATCCAATGCCAAGAAATGTATTGGATACAATACTTTAATATTATTTGGTCACGTGAAATAAATTTATTATTATAAAAAATCATTTAAGAAAGTGATTCTCCTTTTAAAACAATTATTACATTCATTATAAGTTTTATTTTCTATTTAAGTGCAATTCCTTTCATTAAATGAAATTCTATTAAACAAATGATTATTATAAGGAATTACAGGCAAGCATACCTCTTTTAATTTTTACTATTTTTTTGGTACCAATTAAAGAACTTTTCAAGAACTTATCTGTTCTTTTCCAATTTGTATAACATAAAGATAAGTTGTTAATCGCATGAACTATTACTTTTTCAGCAGCTTTTTGATACCACCAAAAGGCCTTTTCTAAATTCTTTTCTGTGCCTTCATCACGTTCATATAAATGGCCAATGTTATATTGCTTTAGGATGTCAATTTTCAACAGTTTTTCGAATCTAAATTTTCGTCGAACTTCGTTCCAAATCATTTTAATAGCATTTCAAATATATTGCGCAATAGGATGATCGTTTGCTGCTTTTAAGAAACTCATAAATCCTTCATTGTCATAATTATTTTCACTAAGCTAAGCATTTTGTGATAAGAAAAGATTCGACGAAAGAAAAAATCATTGTGTGATTTTCATTAAGCCAGTTAATCCTTCGTTTCAACAAACTTTTTACTTTGATTTACTATTTTGATCAATAGTTTGAAAATTTATCAACTAGTATATTATTATTATCCGTTGGATTAATTTCTGAAATTTTATAGGAATTCGTCATGTTCTGACAGCTTGTATTTTTTTTAAGAAAAATTTTTGTATCTCGCGAAAAGTTAGGGGTAAATTTTTTTTGACAAAATATTAGACGATAGTTTTATATGCGTAACTTGGAATTAGTATATTAATGGGAAAAATGTCAAGTGTTATTAGTGGCGATTGAAGTATTAACTTTTTGGAAGTGCAACGCAATTAAAATTTTAACCATACGACCGAAAAGTTGCCTTTATGCGCATCATAAAGAAACAAAATTACGTCATGTTTTTATAATTTAAGTTAGCATATCCGCCTTTCCAACTGTGTATACAATTATCCGGAATTAATTGGATTGGATATACGCAACATCAGTAAAAATCCGAATTTCTAAAACTTCTTTTTATAATATTTAGCATTACCAATTAGGCATGACCTCGTCAGAACACAGGATTAACCTTTTTATGTCAAAGATTCGTACAAAAACTTACTTTAACTTTATTTGTTGACATTTTTGGGACATGGTTGGAATCTGGGATGTAAGCAATGCCTCGTTCTTAACTTTTTCATGCGAAGTAACGTCTAAGATAGTACAAAGTACACCCTATTTGCAGAAGTTCTTTTTTAAACCATGGTTTGATATCTGGCATGTAAACAAAAAGCTCATTTTAAACGTTTTTATGCTTAAGCTAGTACAATACTCAATCAAGCTCAATTTTTTGAATTTAGTAATCTTAATTTTCTTACCGGATACAAAAGAACAAGAAAAAACAATGACACATTGTGCGACTAAAAAATCACAATATTAATTATTTTCTTTAATAAGACGATTGCGAAAAGTTTCAGGAAGAAGTAAACTTCATATTTCACGAAGCAAATTAAAATTTTTCATATTTAACATGAAACAATACTATCATGTGATGAGTACTTTAAAAACGTTTTATACATAAAGACTAGGATAAAAACCTAACACGAAGTCTAAAATATAATTGGTCATTTACCACGGGGCAAGACTTTCAGCCGTTAAAATCAGGATGTTAAAATTCTAAAACTAGTAATCTCATTCATTTTAAACAAATTATCTCTTTTTTTTATCAAAAATGATTTGCTAACTGGTCACGTACATTGTGCCCAGAAGCGTCGGATTCCAAGAAAGAAATTTACACAATGTTAAATTTAACTGAGATTACACAATTAGCATTATATAATGATGAGTTCGTACGCAAAATACGTAAACAACAGAATTCTGAATAGTAATAAAATGTATTTTTAACAGGCGAGTTTTGGATGTTGCTGGAGCTACTTTGGGTCCTTAGCTCTAACCATGTGCTGAATTTCCTAAATGGACTTGACTATTCCCCAAGTACGATTGGTGGAATACTAATTGTTGCTATATCTGTTATAATTCTACGGCCTCAAAACGATCGAAGCTAAAGAATTAATGCGGCCAACCCGCCAGGAAAACTTATTTTAGTAAATGGCAAATGTCGAAACCCTACATTTAGACGGATTCGTTAATAATTCTTTGCCAATAAGGTTTTATATAGTTTTACCAATGACCCGTCGAATATCGAGAGTTTCCAGGCAACTTTAAACCCGCCGAACAATTAAAATAACAAAAATAAATAAAATTAATTTAGTGAAAAAAATAAATCAAAAATTACTTACTTAGTGATCCAGATCTTCTAAAATAAAGAATTAAAAAATAAAACAAAAAAACCTAGTCATACAGCCCAAAAACGGAAGCTAAAATAATTAAAAAAAAAGCAAGATAATTTCTGCATCTCGAAGCGATATAAAATAAAAAGAAAGAGAAAATATATTAAAAGATAATGATTCACCACTAGCGCCAACACGATCCAATCCGAAGAGGAACATAAAGGAAAAAAAAAGAGGCGCAAGATTTTATCGAAATCGAACGATCGCTATACCCAGAGCGATCTAAGGACGCTCTCAAGAACTTAACTCAATGGATCTGAAATAAAATTTTAATAAATCAGTTATTACAAAGACATTCGTCAACGTGTAGTTAAGCCATTGATATTGTTACAATTGGATGTAATTCCGGCCGAATTCTCCATAATTCCGCATGAAAATCGCTTTCGATATTTAGTCCTTTGAAGATCATTTGCCCAGGTTGTCAAATTGTTCAAGAAGCCAGGCTGGCCTAATTATTTTTTTTTTATATAGATAAGAGCTGGAAATCCTTAAACAGCTCAATATCTACTCTCGCTCTTGTTGAATAAATTCCCTTCGAAATCCTTCCTTTAACACCTTCGCGATATTTTCGCTTTCGCCGTTTTAACTTTTTAATTTTGTAGTTGTAACTTCGTTTATTATTTTTTTTTTAATTTCCGATTTTATGTTATTTATTATTTTGTAATTTTTTCGTAATTGTGTAGTTTTAATAAATTAGAATTTGGCACTTAGTTTCATTTATTGATCAAGCGAAAGTGTAGAGCGCCGATATTGAGGCAACACTGTTTAATTTGATAATATTAAATAAATACTTGTCATAATTACTTCATGTTTACTTAATAAATATTCAATTTTATTCAATTAATGCCTTCTGCTTACAATAAAAATTGTTTATAAATACATAAACGAAAGAAGTGAATACAACAATATTATATGAAATTGTAGAATCTTGACAATATTTAAAATTTATAAAGTCCAAATTTTTCAGATTTATTTAATTCAGTCTTTTAAAATCACATTACGGATCATATGAATTACTATGTTCGTAACTCTATTTTAATAGCAACCT